TTTTTTCTGAAAGTAGAAAGACAACTGGGACATCTATTAGTACGGATCGACTTTACCCAGATCTTTTAATGCACGCATTTATCTTCATTGTACGTTGCCGCCCATGTTCGCCATATGTATGTAAAGAAAATGAAAGTTGTCCCTGATAATACGTTGTAAGGCGTAGATCCTTTTACGCGCATATAATTTATGCGACCTATGACGCTATCTTGAAAATTTTGCGAACACAGTATTGGGTGACACTATGATTTTTATAGGAGGGAAAAGCAAAACTAAAGAGTTTGGATTGATTGCTGAAAGAAAATGCTACCTTCGCGTTGAAAGCCTTGGCAATTTTATCCGCTTCTTCGTGCCCTGCACCGATGAATGACGAACCAGTATCAGATATGACAACGTAACTGGATTTGGCACTATAGTTACCAATGGAAAACCCATTCATCTAAAACTGTGTAATTACGATGACGTGCCTACGTCATTATGTCTCATTGGAGCTAGTTGACTCCATCATATTATTTCTGTCTATCGGATGAAAATATTGGAATAAAGTGCCTAACCCTGAACTTCCAGTACGTTGCTGTAACAAGGGGCTCATAAGCAATCACATCGCCGCAGTTCTCGCGGTCTATTCCACCGTATGTGACTACACCACCAAAATCACCTTTAGCATCTGAAAGCTGGAATCTAAATATTCTTACTTTACAGTGTGTGCTGTCAAAAGTCGCGGTTATATTTATATTTTTAGCTCATCCCAAAGTAATCTTGTTGAGCTATGTTAGCATGATTATTTTGAGCGTGAAGTTTATGTAACAGACCAGTTGAACTTGAGGAGGTACTACGTTGTCATCTTTGCAGACGTATGAGCCTCAAGAAACCAAGATTGTTTTTCAGCACTTTCCGAATATTCGTTAAAGCGTCTACGGAAGTGAAAAATGACGTTTTCTGGAATTGTATGTGTTTTTGAGTCAAACCGCTTATACGATTATTGCTATTAGATTAGGGATTTTGCTTTAATCCTTACTGGCCTACGAGATTGTTGATTGACAAGCCCTTAACAGTAGCTTGCACGCACTAAAATCACAGGCAAGTTCGCCGAAAGACAGGCTCACTTTTGATGTTATAGTGCTCGTCGATCTTCGATTAGAAAAGCATATAGTAAGCTGCTCACTCAAACTCACGTGTTTTGTATTATAGCAATAATTTTACGAAATTGATGCCATAGAGAATTCCCAGCTCTCTTGCTGCTTTCAATGAAACACGTCAAAAGAAAATCTGCTCTTGCGCAAGGCATACTTACTTTGAATAGCAACATAACTCAATCATTTTCTGTAGGTGAACAGTCTGGGGGCTTTGGTTGGTTTTAGCACATTAACTTACAGCTTTCGAAGAATACACTTTTTATACCAATATCGATCAAATTTACATAAACTATATTTTGTTTTGACGTATCCTAAACCTATTGGGAAAAAACTCACTGTATCCATCGCCGCGCTTCATGTAGAAGGTAAATATGGGATCAACTATGCCGAGTTTCCATGCGCGTTCAAAGATGGGAGGAGCCCCTCTTGACGACAGTTCCCCAAAAGCCATTCCAAGTACGCCATCCAGGGGTTGCTGAAACGACCCTTCACAAATTTCTAAACTTTGCGCTTTGAAGCCGTCCCTATTTCTCATCATCAATATATATATTATTGAAAAATGACAATTGTTTCCAAACATACCTGTGAATACAAAATGGTAATACTCAGTGTGAGAGCAACAAGGACAGCTTTCGTTGGTTAAATTTATATATGTATGCGTCAACTCACATTTTCAGCATACGTGCATATTGAATTTATTTAAAGGCTGACCATAAAGTAATTCGAACTCGTCGGTTTGAAGACTATCCTGACTGAGATCAGTGCAGTTAAAATTGGTAGTCAAACCTATCACCAGAGCTAGTTCCGAAACTTTTTCCCCTTTCTTGAAAATAGACTGACTTATAGTTTGCAAAGCTTTCCAAGTCATTCAGCTATATACTTCCAAATGTATCCTAATCAAGGTAGAGTTAGCCATGTGATAGTACTCTTCGCTTCCAAGATCTCATTTCATGAGGCCATGGGTTCAATTCTCACTGGGACGTGATTCTTGCCTCGACCCCAGCGTCAGGCTGCTCCTCAAGGGCGCGTGACAAGCTGGCTGAGAAACATCGTGTCGCATGAGATGAGATTAAATATTCAATAAAAAGTATCGATTGAAAACTAGGGTGTCCACCGAAAACGATGCGCACTCGGGCCAGACGGGTGCGAGTAATGGGGCCACCTTCTTAAGAGAGGAGACGGATAAAAATGCTAGTTCTTCGAAAGAAACTATCCGAAAACTCTTTAACGGCAACTGTCCAAAAACTCAGAAATGCTCTGATCAGCTACTGTCAATGTCGGAGCCTAAGTGGACATCTAAAAGTGGCGGATCTCTTGGGAAGACAGTAAGTAAATATAGCCTGTATATCGGAGATGGTTCAAGCTGTCACCGCCTGTGCTCTGCAAGAAAGATGCAAGAGGCAAGAATACATTTTGGCAGGAGCTCGACATTCACATTACATCCATACCGCAGGATGAGATGCTCCTGCTTGGAGCAGACTTCAAAGGTCATATGGGGGAAAAAGAAATAGTGCAGAAAAGTGTTACGGGAACCGCAGATACGGACATGCAATGAAGAAGGCGACATTGTTGAGTTCGCTACAGCTTACAACCTAAGTCAGCAAGAAGTACAAAAAGTATCAACATCTGATTGCGTATGTGAGTAGAGACCGTCAAACACAAATTGACTAGGCAGTGCGTTACAGTAACCTAAAGAACGTAAAGGATTGCAAAGTCAACTTCCGGTTTGAAGACAAAGAAAATCCATGACTAACAACACTACTAATCATGTGCTGCAAATTGAAAGGTCTTTGGCCAAGGATGCTCTGATTAGTGCTCTGTTGGCCGTATGCGAGAAACTAGAGGAGTCATGGTGAACCTTGAAGCCTAACGTAATCGGACAACAAGGAATTTCCTGGATCGTACAGCCACGAAGAATCAACGAAGAACTTGATATTGGAGCGACGAGGATCAGACGGTAATAAAGGAAAAGAGTCAAGCCTACAAGCAAGGTATAAGTTGAAATCGCAAATCGACAGATGTACTGGAATGAAACACGCTGCAAAGAGATGTGTCGAGAAAACAAACATGCGTACGTGAAAAAAA